TTCAGAATAAGTGCAGTAGGCAGCTGCTTAGCTTTATATGCAACCTTGGATGCTGTAGAAAAGAAACATGAAGGCTTATGGTGAATAGCATATCATTGCTTAAGTACTCTTGTCCAGTGTGCATGGGAATGTGGCAATGCAACCAGCTATGAAACGACCTTGAGGGAGTGTCAGTAAAAGGCTTCATTAACCCATTCGATTAACCTCTTCCTCTCATAAGCTCCATAAAACGGATGCATGTATTTAGCCGGGACTTTGCACACGAATCAGGGCTGGAGCGCCTGGTAAACAGGACTCGGGAGACGAGTGTGTCCAAACTAGACAAGTGTTAACTTACACCATCAGTGTTACCTCTTTAACTAATTGCTTTGGGGAGCTCATCTTCATCATGTTCGCAGTTACCAGCTCCGACTGACCAGTAAAGGTAGGATCAATAAGATGCAACTTTATGCTACCAACCAAGCTATGGTAGATGAGAAAAGCTTTTTGCTGATAGCAACATGCATGTTTGGAATAATAACCTCCTATTTTAGCATCAGATTGCTCAGGGTTATCCTCCCCTCAAGCCATAATCATGGGTTTCTTATTGTAAAAAGAAAATCTTCAGAAAAATACCCACAGTCTGTTTACCAAATTCCACCACTGCCTAAAGGCTCCGATGAAGGTCTCATGGATTGGTTTATTTACCCACTGACTGCTCCTTTGAGATATTTTGGAGTCTGGACTCCTGGGCCGTAAAGTGACCTCTAATGGATAGATTAGGCTAAGGCATTCACTTCAGAGGGCACACAAATATACTTTGGGAGTGCATTAGATCTCTTCGGAGCTTAGCATGATCAAATTATTGCATTAGACCGGTCAACTTATCCAATTAAAGTTGTAAAACGCATGGCTCTCGCCCAAGCGAGACGGCGGATCCTTGGGGCGTTGGTGGGTTTGCGGGAGGCTGAACCCTATCCACCTCCTCATCGACAGAACAGTCCTCGCCACATACTTCAGCTGAGGATTACAGCCTTTCATCCTGCTCAGACCGCCGGCAGCACACAGGCGTCTTTGAGGCCAGATATGCCTTGTAGTAACATCAGCAAGGTCCAGATTTGTAAAGCTGTTTCCCAGCTCCATGCTCCGGAGTTCTATTTCTCCCGTGTGTGTACACTCACACATTTCTTTCTTGCTCACTTAACCTTGGCATTGCCATAGGAGTGCAAGGACATTCTCTTCCATCAGTGTCCCCTAAATGAAAAATTTAGGAAGCACTCAAAGCCTCTCAAAGGGGTTTTTGAGACATTTTTGAAGTCGTAAACTTCATTTGAAATAATTGTTGCCATTTGTGTACACTTAAGTGATAAGTGGCTCTGTCATCATAAGAGCTTAAACAATAAAAATAATTTGGAATAAGCTAATCCAAATGACACAAAGGGAATTATAGCGATGGACAGACATTTAAAAATAAAATTACAGTTTAAAAACTCTAAAAAGTCTCTGATCGCTGCTTTCAAATCCGAAATCCAAAATCTCCAATTCCAAGTTGTCTGAGCAGACAAGGGCAAATGGGAATATATGTTGAGCAGCTACGGGACAAAACTAGTCAATTTTCAATTCTGCCCACAGGCTAATTTATTTAGAGAAATTAAAGACCTATTACCTTTAATCCCTCAGATAAGCGCACATCTGATCTGACCTCCACTTTCTAACTCAGCATCTTCCAAGTGCAGTTGCTCTATGAACATGACAAATAGCTTATTGATTAGCAGATGTCGTATCTAATGTCCTTTTGGCTTGGGCTTGGGCTGCAGCCGCCTGCTCCACGCAACCTGTCCTAAGCCCAGTGGATCTCCAGCTGAGTCCCCCGCCTCCTCCTTCCACAGCTCCCAGTCACTCGGAGCGGGGCCCCTGCCTGCCGGCCACCCTCCTCATTCCTCCTTGTCCCTCCCCTGTCCACCAAGGTGTGGAAGGGGTCACCAACGAACACCATCTGCTCCAGCAGGCAGAAAATGGCAGGTGAGGCCAGTGTCGGGCCGTGTGACCTGATGCTGGCCACACTCGACCCGCCACAAACAAGGTCAAACGAAGATTCAGGGAAAAACAAAAACCAGCTCAGCACAGTGAGGGACAATGGGTGATAGAGTGGAAAGAATCTAATCTACATTGTTTTAATCCACAGGGAAGATTACACAGTCACGGTGCCTTGACACAGCAGCTTGTCAGAAAGAGGTCATGCAAACTCACTCCCCACCCGTCATGCTTTTTAACGCCGCAGAACATCCATATGTCCTTCCCACACATGTCTGTCACTCAGCTGAAAGAAGTCTTAAATAAACTCTATTTTCCTCAACACATCTAATTTACAACACTGTGCGTCACCCGCATTTAAAGGCCACCACTAATGACATTGCAAACCTTTAAAGACATTTGATCATATTTAATCAGAGCACACAAATAATGAATAACTGGAAACCCCAGGTCAACGTCCTACTGTACGCTGCAGCTAATGTTGCCAAATTTGGATTTGCTCCATCTGATGTTGACACTGTGCTGCTGAGCTTTTGTGTCCGTCTGTCAAGGACGTGGTCGCGTTGAATAGGGGGAGCAGGAAAGCCCGGCCAGCATCCCACTGGGGCTTTGTGCTCCATTGAGCAATGATGCTGCGACTGTGTGCAAGAGATTGTGTGTGAGTGTCTGTGTGTGCATGCGTGGGGCTTTAGGATGTTGTGGATGCAGCAGATGCTTTTGACGTATAATCAAAAACAAGTTGAAAGCTATCTTTAGTTCATGTGTTTGTGTTATTAAAAATCTATCTTTCCACTATTAAATGCTGTAGGTGTGAAATGTGGCTCTGAGATGTTTATAGTGGACTTTTTTGCAGATAATGGTGGTTCTTTCATAGTCAGAGTTGATTCATCCAATCTGTGTACAAGACTTCCGAGTGTGCGAGGACATTATAGTAAGTGTTACCTGCGTTGGTGTTGGATGAGCCGTTATATTCACGGGCCGTAGTTCGAAGCTTACTTCAGCTGTTGTCCTCATAAAACTGTTAAGAGTGACCTTTCAGTCCAAAAGGCAGTTCGTATTCATCGCTCAAAGGTTAGATATTTTGTGGAGAATTCCTCTCAGAGTCTCTCCTATAAGGAAAAAATAATAGCCACAACACAGAGGAAATCGTATTGCGTGTTCACTTGACACAAAGACAGGAATATTTGATATACCTACATGATTACTAACTTGAAAAAGTAGTCTGATTTAAAAATCATGATTGTCCTATCTGTGTATTTCACCAGCGTGAAACTACCCAATAATATGGTACAATGAGTGACATGAATGCAGCGGGTCACTGGGTCATGAAGTAGGGATGCAGAGAACTAGAGGAATGTAAGGGGCTTCTCTTTCTCCTCTTGACGGATGGATGGGCCCCATATTCTGATGGGTGGAGGGAGACATTTATAGCATTGTGAGATGCTGCTTAAGAAGAGGAAGGAGGCGGTTTTTTTGACTTGGGGTCTATGTTTTAGCTGAACAAAAGCCTTTGTGAAGTCATTTATCACTGTCGTCACTCTGAATCAACCAACACTGGAAAAGAAATGTGCACAAATCCTGCCTGTTGGTGTGTTATTTCTAAAAAAACTTTGTGCTTCAAATAAATGAGGGATTTTTTAAAGCACTAGCTACATATATGGTGGTTTCTTTACAATGGCTCGGTGGTTTCATCTCAACTGTGCAGAAATTCTTGTGTTAGTACCTGTCACTGTATCCTGCTGAACCACTGATGCTCAGTAGAAGCTTGTATTGTCTTCGTATCTAGCACTTGCCCTCAGCTGAACGCGAGCTACAAATCCTGCACTGACCAGTATGCAACAGACTCTTATCTGATCCTCTGTATAAAAGGGTTCACTTCAAACGGCAGATCCTTCGTCAAGTCTGAAGTTAAGTTTACACCATACAGCCTCACCCTGGGTGTTCCATTGAAGTAAATCCAGCTTTTATTGTGACAAAGTACAATACTCTCTACAAGGCAAAGGCACATTCAAGAGTTTTAAGGGGGTTCTGTAAATTATGTTACAACACAAACTCACACTTGTTCCCTACCTAGAGCCATGTCTCTAGCGTGACTAAAATGACACATCAGACTTTAATGTCTGTAATAATAATAGAAAATTACAACAATAAGCAATTTACCAAACATCCACAATCATGCTGAACGTGGTTATGACAGCCACTCCAACTGCTGGGAGTCAGTACAAGTTCATGGCTTTGAAACCACTTGGTCCTCCGGGCCAAACATGGGTCAGTCCCTACAAAGACATTTTGGTCTTTCTCAGTGGCTATTAGGTCACTCCGGGTGTCAGCAAAGATGACTCCCATGTCTTCTAAAGAGGGGTGGGGATGACATAGACGTGAGGGTCATTCCTTTACACATCACTTCCATTATTAAAGGGCTGCCATGGCCTAGTAAAGGGGACGGTCAGTGGTCATCCAGCCCCCCAGCCACCCACCCCGAGACCCCTATCTCTTGTGTCCAACCCCCAGCCCCTCTGTGCTCACTCAGGGGGAAAATTACTTTGAGCTGAGGGAATACAGCTCCATTGAGATGGAGAGAGGGTTGTACAAAAGAGGGTGAAGTTTAAAAAATTGTCTCTTTTTCCTATGGAGGCAGTGCTTTGCTGGAAGGGCTACGGTGATAGGAGCATCGAGGGGACAAGGTCATTAGATTGGCATCTCCATAAGCTCTTCATTCCCATTGTCTGGGCAAATCCGCTCCAAAGGACCTCCATGAGAAATGCCCCCGGTCAACCCCACACTGGGAGCAGAGTTACCCCTTTGTCTGCCACTTTTCAGAGTGCTTCCAACACAAAAAGCATTTCTCAGGAACAGCGTATAAAGCTCGTCTCGCCCTCAAAACCAACAACATTGTTCTGCTGCCTCTGGTTGGGAATGGATTGCGTGCAGCTGCGGATGTCCTTAGGCAATAAAACATCTGCCCAAAAATCTTAAGAGCGTCTTACCTTCGGACATTTCGGCGCTCCTCCTCAAGCTGCTTGAGAAGCTCGTCAATGCATTTGTTGGCGTCCATGTATTCCTGCCAAGAAGAGATGAGAAAAGCCAAAAGTAAGCAGTGGAGTCAGTGTCCAAATGCACATGCTGAATATAGACAGTATATATTAGAAACACAGGCAAACTTTAACCAGTGTCTTCATCTTAAATACTTTCACCTGAGCCAAGTAATAACAACAATGACCATTCATTGATGAGATGCTGTAAAATCATGCCTGGACTGTGTATTTCCTCCACTTTGTTTTCATAAATGTGTGAAAAACAGCGTCACAGAACAGAAGTACTTTTAAAAAAGGTGTGATTAATCAGTTGAGTCTCTTTCTCCCTCTCTTCTCACTGTGTGTAACTCCAGAAGCACCTCTGGGTAACTTCTAACGGCTGGCCCAGAAGCGAGCCCAGCTGTGTAATGTCAGCTGGGAATAGCCCCGCACTCACAAAATGTGCGCTACTGAGTTACAGCACAGACCAAATGAGCTAAGTCTAAGAGCAGAATGGAAAAAGCAGATGTCAGGATTTCTTGGCTATGGCCTAACAATTTGCCTCTTATTGGTCCGACTACATGAAGCAGAAAAGGGGGATTCAGCTGTAAGAAATAGGCCACATAAGCACCATACCTCAACCATCTGGGTTTCCAGACATTTGAGGTCTAACTACAGTACATAACACCGCCAGTTGTGACTTGATGCTGTCAGATCAGTGTGTTCTAGGTTTAAGTCTAATTAATTAGATGTTAGCTTGACAGCTCGTGACGCATCTCCTGGGTAAACAGTTATCTCAGTGGGACAGATGCTCTCCATTGATTTCTAGACACTGTTCATGTGCTCGCAGAGTGTAATTCACAAATGGGGATTCCCATGAAGAGGTCACTAAGTCAGGAATCTCAGTCTAGGAGAAAGAAAGTATAGAATCTGTGAGATATTTATTTTTTCTTCTCTTTAGATCATAAAGTACCCATAAAGCCTTTTTTACTGCAAATGTCTTATTGATTTTATTTTTTTATTTTGGCTGCCTCTGAGCATTTATTTTTCTTTACTGCTGTTGTAATCTCAGTTCTCTAATTAGTTGCTGGCAAAAATTAAAGTTCTTTTGAATAACAACATTTGAATCCCCAGGGAATCGAAAGACAAACACAGTGCCTGTAGTTTTCAAACTTTTCGGAGGACCCCTGTTGTTATACCATGAAAATAAAATAATAATTGCATGTGCACAATAAAACTGTTAGGTGTATATGGAAATGTGAATTTTGGAACAATAGGACATCAAAACTATGCACACTTCTGGAGAACCACATTGTGAATCTGCACTGGGTGGATAAAAAAAACATGTTACCCTACAATGCTACACCAGCCTTAAAAATTTACCACTTCTTTAACACAAAAACGATACAGGTTTGTTTGTGTATTCACTCTGTTGACGCTCAGTATTTTCACACCTATACCACAGCTCAAGAACTTTAAATAATAATTGAATAATGTTACGGGGTGATTCTGACCTCCCTGTTACCCACCTTCCCCTGTATGTCTGCTATCACTCCATGGGCTTTTTTAACCTGTGGCCTTGACAGTAAACTCACATTAGGCCAGATGTTCAGAAGCACAAGCTGCTGGTCTAAATACAGTAAGTGCAGTTGTTGTGTCTCCTTGCTCTTGCTGGGGTGCCGCTCTCCCACTGCTGCTTCTGAAGCAGTTATTGCACTTAATCTCCCATCTGAGCCTGCCACTCAAAGATACCCATCCCCACCAGCTTGCCCCGATGCCAGCAGAACATGGCAAAGGCCCAGGTTTCCTGCTGAGTTGCCAGTCAAGGGCACTCTGGGTAACCATTAGGCAAATATGGCCAAGAGAGAAATGTGTGACTTTTTTTTTCTCAAGCAGACAAATAAACTGTCTGGGGCAAAACGTCTGTCTCCGAAAGACCATTAGCAACGCGATCCCATAATGACTGCGGCTGCTGCACAAAGGGGAACCTTCTTCGTGAAAGCCCCATGTCAGGGGAAATATTTACAGGCCACATCAAACATGAAGTAAAGCTACCTAAGTCTATGTTGTCATCGCATAGACCTCTCCTAATAACAGGCCACTGAAATAATCCCCAGCACACATGAAGGAATGCTGAGAATGCAGCATGCTTGTTGTCATGTGAAATGGGAGGGTATTTAAAGCGGTGATTTAAAGCATGACTCATGTATGTAATGCAGAGTGTTATATCTTCAGCCAGGCATTATTTCTGACGGTTTAACGGCGTGTGTGAAAGCTGCACCGTTCCCACGAGGCCCAGGCACTCACGTGTGGACTGAAAAAGAACTGAATTTACTGACTCTAGACTTTATCAGAGGCATATTTCTCAGGAACGGTGGGGCCACTGCATCTGCCGTACAGCCCAACAATTCCTTACAGCGGTAAAAACGTTCTAAGAGCTGTAAGCTCATAAGGAGTGCGTAATCACCTCCACAGTATACTAAATCATAAAGAGTTTTTTTTTTTTTTAAATCCTAATATACTTTCCCAGACAGCAAGAAGATGTGCACTTAGAGGGTAGACCTTCAGGAGACTGTTGTGAACGAAACTGAATTTGGTTCTGATCAACTGCTACATGTAATTTTCATTTTAAAGGAACATAATTTTGTTTGTTGTATTCAGTTTCTTCAAATGTCCTCATTTTCATGCCAAGGAAAAGGACCTACTGGATTTGTTTAGGGTTTTTTTATCTTTATTTTTATTTTTCCTCCACTCTACCAGCTCCCTAAAGGACAAATATGTTCAGTTGCATGGGAATAAATACACTTTTTGCGTTTGAAACTGTATGTAGAATATTGAAAGCCATTTTTAAGTGCTAGGTTTACACCATGGTACGTTTTTTAGTTCGACATTTCCTAATATTTCATTAAAGATAAAGCTTTTTGCTGGGATGATGTGAGCATGGGCTGATCTAGGGTTAACCTGGCAGGTAATGTGTTTGCTGATGTTCTTGCTCTATGACCGCAGGTTCTCAGTTCACTCATGTGTGTGTGTTAGAGAGTTTGATTAGGAAGCAGCCCCCCCGCCTTGTGCACGCCTTGAGTCCCATATCCAGTCCCCTCCAACTGTTCGTGTGCCTTTATGAAATTTTAAAATGTGAGTGCCGTCCCCCACTGTTTGGGAACTGAGGAGCAGGGAGGGGCGAAAAAAGAAGGGGTAAAAAAATATAAACACTTCTGTTAAAAGACAAAACATGCAAACAGACAGATTGGCTGACACACAAACCAAATGCAATCTGTTTAAGATTAACAGTCCCGACTTTTCAGTAATAAAACATCAGATGCATTACTCATCCATGTGAGCTCTTGCAAGCACGCTCTGCTCTTTCACACATTCTTGAACATTAAGAGGGATGGAGTCGCATCCTAGACAAACGTCTGGTACTTATACAGGCCTTTTGGAGTTGACTGGAAAAAACAAATAAACCTCAAGCTAGATAAAAGTGTGACCCAAGTGCGGCAGAGGTCAGTGTCCCTTGAAGTCTTTGATGCAGTGAATTTCCTCCACCACCTTGATCAGAGGCTCAGGCTGGCGTTACAGATAAGCCACCTTTCTCAAAGCCTGCAGCCCCTGCTGTGAGCTCTGGGAATCGGACCCTGCCAAAGACAAGGTCACAACCTCTACCCACTCCTATCCCTGCATCTCAACCCGCCACACCTACCTATCTCTGCTTGTCACAGATTTTGCTCAGACTGATGACATACCAGCGTGGCTTCTGGGACTTTAAAACCAACTGCAAACCCTGAGCTGCAGGTTTGACAGAGAGAGCTCCCACGTGGGCTACTGCAAGTCAAAGGTTATGCCAATAGAATGTAAGATTTCTTTCTGGGTGTATTTTTATGGCACACTTGAGAATGAATTATGACAGTGACTTTTCAAGGTGTGGGAGATACACCACATCTGATGTGTCTGTTAGTCTTGGCCTCCTGCCAAAGATACGACTGGGTTTGCAGCCAAATACTCTTGCCATCCAATACTCCAAAGTTTATATGTACAAAGTTAGCAAAGATGTAAACATAACAAATTAAATCAGCATCAATGAAAACATATTCCCATACGCCAATATAATTCAGGATGACTGTGATCCTATCATGACTAGGTAATGAACTAATCAGTATGACTAATGGCCTCTGTGTGCAGATTTCTATAAACCTGCCTCTGCTTGTATCAGGTCTCTGCATATCAGCCAGCCTTGGTTAAATTCATTATTCTTATCAGCATGTTTTGGGGCTTTGTGCTGATGATCCTTCCCTCAGAGGTCATAACTCCTCCGTAACACCATCCTAATGACCTGGTGTCATAGTATCAGCTCAGCCATCAAGCTCTCATATCCTCAGACCGAGCTGATAGCCCTGCCTTTTATCAATGGAGTTGTGCAGCTACTCATGTGATTTTTTTCACTTGGGAAAAAGATACGATATGATTTAGCATCAGAGATAGACGTGATCCTGAATGTTTTTATCATGCTGCAGTCGTATAAAGAAGTACACCTGTTTCCTGTATCACGATAGTTTGATGGATCCATAAAGGAAATTGTTGATTGACTGATTCTTGTAAAGACAGAATAAAGATTTAGATGTGGAGTGGGCAGAAACAAGGTCATGACCTCTACTCATTGGATACGTTCACAGTGCTCAATTCATAGTTTTCATGTGACATCACATTCAAAGGAAAATGTTCACTTGGAGAGCAAAATGCAGGATGGTTGTTGTGCTTTCACATGCACTAATCGACGTGGAGACAAGCCTGAGCTGTGTTAAGTGAGGGATTCCCTGCAAGGTAAGCAAAACATTACAGCAGTTGAGCGCTGGCAGGGACCTGACGGTTTTTAACGGCGGAAATACAAAAACACAAAATATGGCAGCAGGTCTTGTATATGGATAGCAAGTACCCAGCACTTTTAGATATTGACACAAACTGCGTTTGTCAAACTGCGTTTGTGTCAATATCAATCTTTTTCTTGAGTTGAGAGGTGATCCAAATAAGATTGAACTGCTTTTGCAGTGTC